CATGTATGCTTAGCTTGGCGAATGATTGCTGCTTTGCATCCTTTTCAGCTGAATCGCTAATAAATCATCTCGGTYGCYCTTTCTTCAACTTTGGTGAGATTTTTTGGGGGAATTTAGGGAAAATAAATTGCTTAAAATTAGGCTTCTCTTTGCTCACCAACGTAGCGATCCCTCTTTGGTGGGACTGCAGGGCCTCTCCTCCTAGGGTAGACCCTTCTAAAGTTCCTATCAACTTCAGTACCACACCCCAGAGTTGGACACGACTGGACTTAATGTCAGGGGAAAACCTTTACCTTTACCTTTAGCAAGATATTAAAACAATACACAAATCAGATACTATATTCAAAACTATTAAACAATCCGTAAACTGAAACACTAAAACGTGTTAAAATAATGCCCCTTAATCATATTCACGACAGCACCAAATAGCATTAACAACAAATAGATCAAACAACAAATAGACCAAGGCAAGGTCCCTCACAGAGATGAAACTTCAGGTAAGGACACCCTGGGAAGGTGTTAACTACCAGGGGTCTGGGTCCAATAATAGCTCAGCTGGAGACTTTTAAACAGAGGCTGGATGGCCATCTGTTGGGGGTGCTTTGAATGTAATTTTCCTGCTTCTTGGCAGGGGGTTGGACTGGATGGGCCATGAGGTCTCTTCCAATTCTATGATTCTATGAAGATTGGTGTTTTGTGACTATGTAAATTCTGCTTTTCTGGAAGGAAGTCGCTAAGCATCAATAGATTTATGACCTTGACAGCAACACAGTTTTTTTAAAATAAAAGCTTTAATAGCACAGCTGGCTGAGGCTCAATAAGTCATTTCTGAAGTAATCTCACTGATTAATGCAAGTTAGGAAAAGCACATCCATGGTTTTTTCTTTTCTTTTCTTTTTGCTCATAGTTTTTAGCCTTTTACTCAATTTTACATTTTCTTGGCGACAATGATGACACACTCTGTTTCCTCATTTCCACTCGCTGCATAAGGGATTCCGTCTGAGTCCTTCTCAGTTCTCGTCTGAGGGGGAACTTGGCAAGCAACAAAGAGCCTCCAGCTACAGGTCTGTGAAGACATCCTTGTAAAACTTTCCCAAGTGCGGACTCAGCAGGGAATATCCGGCTTTTAGAGATTCCGGTAAGTGGATACAAGGTGTTCTTATGGATGCAGCTTCTCTGGTTCCTTCCCCAACCCAGCAGTCTCCAGATACCATGGTCTACAACCCCTATTATCCCTAGGAGGGTGATTGTAACCCAACGTATCTGAAAAGATTGTCTTATGGTATTGGATGTGGCTGAATTTTACAATCAGAGCGTCTTTGCTGGAAATTTCAAAGAGGCTTGTTTAATTCTACGATTTGTTATGTTGCCTGCCAGGGATTTTGTGTGGAGAGCTCCACCCTGCAAAGCCAAGTAGTTTCTAATATACTAGCCGTCCCCTGCCACGTGTTGCTGTGCCTCAGTCTGTGTATATGTGTTTTGTGTGTTTATATATGTGTATATGTGTGTGTATATATTTGTGTATATGTGTGTGTTTGTGTATATATGTGGTTTTAAGCATGCGTTGTAATGCATTTGGGGGGGGGGATTTTTAAGTCTCTTCTGCTGTGTTTTTCAGTGTTTTTATGAGTGATGGTCACTCGTTGGCCTGATCGGTGTATTGTGTCAATTCGTCCAGTGGTTTTTGAGTTATGTTAATCCCACAAACGAACACTACCTTTTTATTAATATAGATCTTGAAAAAAAGGAAGTACTGTGCCAAATCTCTGTTTTGTGGTGGGTTTAGGCCAAAATTCTCTCCTCTCTCTGATTGTCCCCCTTTTCCATGCCACCTAAAGATTTTGTTCAGATGTTCAGTTACATTTCTTTGCCATTTTTTTCTCCAAAAAGTTCAAGGCAACATAACATGCACTGCTGCCCTTTCCATCTCCTCCCTTTCTTCTCACCACAACAACCCTCTGAAGCAGGTTAGTCTCAAGGTAGTCCCATGGATTTTATGGCTTAGTGCAGATTAGAATTTGGACCATCCTGTACCTAATACAACCTGTAAGCACTATGCCACTGGCTCTCCAACGGCCCGGACTGAAGTGATAAAATGTGTAGTGAGTGGAAGGAGCTGTCCCTTCCTTTGTGCTCCTTTCGCTGCTCACTTGTTCACTCACTAGATCAGTGTTTCTCAACCTTCCTAATTTTTCTTTTTTGTGTCAGGAGTGACTTGAGAAACTGCAAGTCAATTCTGGTGTGAAAGAATTGGCTGTCTGCCAGGATGTTGCCCAGTGGATGCACGGATGTTTGATGTTTTACCATCCTTGTGGGAGGCTTCTCTCATTTCCGCAAGGGGAGCTGGAGCTGATAGAGGGAGCTCCTCCACGCGTTCCTCAGATGTGAACCTCTGACTTGTCGGTCTTCAGTCCTACCGGCACAAGGGTTTAATCCACTGTGCCACCGGAGGCTTCAACCTTCCTAATGCCGCAACCCCTTAATACAGTTCTTCATGTTGTGGTGATCCCCAACCATAAAATTATTTTTGTTGCAACTTCATAACTGTAATTTTGCTACTGTTATGAATCATGATGCAAGTCTCTGACATACAGGATGTATTTTCATTCACTGGACCAAATTTGGCACAAATACCCGATATGCCCAAATTTGAATACTGTTGGGCTGGGGGGTGGGGGTGGGGATATTGATTTTCTCATTTGGGAGTTGTAGTTGCTGAGATTTATAGATCAACTAAAATCAAAGAGCACTCTGAACACCAATGATAGAATTGAACCCCAACTTGGCACACAAAACTCCCATGACCAACAGAAAATACTTGAAAAGTTTGGTGGGCATTGACCTTGAGTTTTGGAGTTGTAGTTTACTTACATCCAGAGAGCACTGTGGACTCAATAATAGATCTGGACCAAACTTGACAGAAAGACTCAATATGCCCAAATGTGGATGCTGGTGGAGTTTGGGGGGAAATAGCCCTTGACATTTGGAAGTTGCAGTTGCTGGGATTTATAGTTCACCTACAATCAAAGAGCATTCTGAACCCCACCAGAGATAGAATTGGGCCAAACTTCCCACACAGAACCCCCAGGCCTTGAAGGGACTCACTGGCACAAGCCTCCCTCCAGCCTTGCATGCTCTCCCTTGCCTTCATATACGCACCACCCTGCCACGCGCTGAGTACACCTGCTCTCCCCTCCCCTCTTGGGTTCTCAGAAACAGCCCTCACCTTGGCTGAGAGGCCACCTGAGAGGCTGACCAATCATAGTGCAGAGGGCTTTGGTGGGAGATTCACCATCTGTTTCCAAAAAGGAAGAGAAGGACAGGTGGAGAGATCTTCACCCTTCTCTGCCAAAGGGGTTCCCAAGACCATCAGAAATCTATGTTTTTTGGTGGTCTTTGGCGACCCCTCTGAAACCCCTTCATAACCCCCCAGGGGTCCTGACCTCCAGGTTGAGAAACTCTGTACTACAACCTGTAAGCACTATACTACTGGCTCCCCAATGGCCCGATCTGAAGTGATAAAGTGTGTAGGGTGTGGAAGGAGCTGTTCCTTCCGTTGCGATCCTTTCGCTGCTCACTTGTTCATTCACTAGATGTCAGGCAAAGGACCAAGAGACTACAGAGGTTAGCAATGAATGTTATGTGGCTTTAGTTCCAACTCGTCCAAATTCCAAGTGTCAGCCCACTCCCAGCAAAGTACACTTTAATGGGGATGTGGGTAGCTGGCATCAGTGGTCTTCTTATGCCTGTCACCTGGAATCACTGATTTAGAAGAAACCATACGGCCATCTAGGCCAATCCCCTGCTTTGTGATGGCCTAGATGCTAAAAACACATAACCATCTAAAACATTATATAAAATACACATGTTAAAACATACTGACATATATGCTACACCCCAGTATTTGCTTCATCTACCAAGCTTTAACTCTATCAAAAAAAAGACATGAGTTATTTTTGAGGAAGGCATAAGTGATTTTTGAGAAATCTAATATTGACTTTTTATGAGTATAGCATTCTTTTCTAAGTGCTTACAGATTGTGTTGTCGAAGGCTTTCACGGCCAGAATCACTGGGTTGCTGTGAGTTTTCCAGGCTGTATGGCCATGTTCCAGAAGCATTCTCTCCTGATGTTTCGTCCACATCTATGGCAGGCATCCTCAGAGGTTGAGGGGTCTGTTGGACCCCTCAAGTGGGCAAGTGGGGTTTACATATCTGTGGAATGTTCAGGGTGGGAGAAAGAACGCTTGTCTGCTTGAGGTGTGAATGTTGCAATTGGCCACCTTGATTAGCATTGAATGGCCTTGCTAACACCTCCCCAGGCAGGAAGCAGCAAGTCTTTGAAGCTGCAAGGCCATTCAATTCTAATAAAGGTGGCCAATTGCAACATTCACACCTGCCTCAAGCAGACAACAGTTCTTTCTCCCACCCTGGAAATTCCACAGGTATATAAATCTCACTTGCCTAGTTTCTAATAGACCTCACAACTTCTGACAATGCCTGCCATTGATATGGGCGAAACGTCAGGAGAGAGTGCTTCTTGAACTTGGCCGTACACCCCAGACAACTCACAGCAACCCACTGTTTACAGATGGGCTGTTGAATTATCTAATCCTGAATCTTTCCTGGTATTGATGTAAGGAGACTAGGCAGGCATTGGTTGGGTCCTCTTTTGCCTTTTTCCAGTCTGGTGGAACTTCTCCTGTTCTCCAGGAATTCTCAAGGATGATTACCATTGGTTCGGAAATTACTTGTCAGTACTTTTGCTATGCTCTGCAGAAAGAGGTGGTGATGGCAGAACCAGGATATTAAATTGGCAACTTCTTCATAACACCAAACCATTAATGCTCTGATGGAGCATTAATGGATGAGGTGGGAACATACCACTGTTTCTTGATAAAAGCAGAAAATCAGAGGTGTTTCCAGACAAGGTATCCTACCTGTCTACAGATTGCAGGTGCACCTGCTCCATTTCCCCCCAATAGTGCCAACAGAGCCTCTCTTTATTCAACCCTCTTGGGTTCTGGCTTTATTTTAGTGCAATGTGTGGGGTTGTTACCGTAGATCTGGTTGGCTTTGGCAGGACCGGAGCCCATCAGAAATGCCAGGCTGTCTCCTTGAGTGTTTCTAAGATTTCCTAGAAAAGGGAAAGGAAGGAAAAGAGAATAAATGTCTAGGTTTGCTATAGTGAAAATAGAAGCAATCTGCAGATAATTTTCCACCCAATTGTTCTTTCAGAAGGGAAGTGATATGATTAAATACCTTTAAACACATTGGCCAACCTATATTTACATTCTGACTGTTCTGAAGTAACCACTCTGTTTTCTTAAGGGCTCTCTTGACATTTCTGAGTAAGGGGCTGGCACACCGCATGGAAACAGAACTTGTCTCCTCTTGCCTTTTTTGACCTGGGAAAAGGGAAATGAGAATACATGAAGCATTGTGGCTCGCTTCCTGTTTAATATTAAGCATTCAAAATAACCTTTCCCACTACCTGGAAATAAACAGAGAAGTGTCATTTGTTTGGGAATGGGTGTTGTTGATTTTTCAGCTAATGGCAAACTGACTGCTGGATGATTCTCAGCATAGAGAACATAACAACCATGTAGCCATTATCCAGATGTTGAATGTGCAAACCGGCTCCCGTATATACTCGAGTATAAGCCATCATTAGGTTAAATGTTTTTGAATGTTTACATAAAACTGTAATTTAAGATAGGACTGTCCAACTCCGATTAAACCATTATTCTAACCTTCTTGAATGTAAATATGCTTGCGTATCCTTCCAATAATAATAGAGTAAAATAATAAATGTAATAATAATAATAATAAAGTAAAATAATGGAAATGTAATAATAACAGTAATAATAGAGTAAAATAATAATAATAATAATAATAATAATAATAATAATAATAATAAAGTAAAATAATGAATAATCTTGACTCAATTATAAGACGAGGGGGACTTTTTTAGCTTAAAAAAGGGGCTGAAAAATTAGGCTTATACTTGAGTATATACAATATTTTGTGCTATGTCTAACCACATCTAAACTGTAAGCTGAATGTTACCTCAATGCCGACAATGCTACAGCATTTTCTAGTGCACCTTGAAGGCAGTAGAGAGTTTAGGAGATGCTGGGCAAGGTCACATGGCAATGCCTTCCTCTGCACCCAGGCACTGTGCAACTTCTGCTTATCCTTTCCTAAAGCTGCCCTGTCATTTTACCTTAGAGCTGATTCTGTAAGCCAGTGTTTCTCAACCTTCCTAATACCGTGACCTCTTGTTGTGGTGACCCCCCAACCATAACATTATTTCCGTTGCTACTTCATAACTGTAATTTTGCCACTGTTATAAATTATAATGTAAATATCTGATATGCAGGATGTATTTTCATTCAATGAACCAAATTTGGCACAAATACCCGATATGTCCAAATTTGAATGCTGGTGGGGTTGGGAGGGGGATTGATTTTGTCATTTGGGATTTGTAGTTGCTGGGATTTATAGTTCTACAATCAAAAGCCTATGGGCCAATGACATTGTAACCTGCAAAATGTTTGAATGCTAACGCTATATAGAATATATCCTTGTAGCAACCCTAAGTTCTGACTAAAATGGTGTGTGGTAACCTGCATTATGCTTTGAACAAAGACCTTCTATTTCTGAGCTAGGCTATTTTCTGAGGTATCTTGCAGCTGACATTATTGTCGAAGGCAGAATTTGTCATGGAGATAGAATTCGGTATCTCCATTTCGATTACTGCAGTGGTTCCCAACCTGTGGTCCAAGGACCACCAGTGGTCCACAAGAACGAAAATATGGTCCATGGCTTCACCATTACTACACCATTGCCTCAAAACCATGTGGCAACGAGAGCAACTGGTCTCGCGAAACACTCTTATAGTGTTGAGACAACAGGGATATGGCGAGGGTAGAGGTTGACTGCCCATGAAAGATTACTACTACCCAGAGGCGGCCCTAGGTAATTTTCAACGGTAAGCAAACAGTATTTTGGCGCCCCCCCACCCAACCAATCACTGATATATATTTTCCGTTCGTCGTGGGAGTTCTGTGTGCCATATTTGGTTCAATTCCATCATTGGTGGAGTTCAGAATGCTCTTTGATTGTAAGTGAACTATACATCCCAGTAACTACAACTCGCATATGTCAAGGCCTATTTCCCCCCAAGAGCGCCTCAAGAGCGCCCCTGGGCAAAATCAACTGTACTGCAAATGCTTACTTTGCGTAATGGGTTGAGCCGCCCCTGCTACTACCACACCAGCTCTAGGAGCCTCCAGTGGCGCAATAGGTTAAACACTTGTGCCGGCAGGACTGCTGACTGACAGGTCAGCGGTTCAAATCCAGGGAGAGAGGGTTGAGCTCCCTTTATCAGCTCCAGCTCCCCATGTGGGGACATGAGAGAAGCCTCTCACAAGGATGGTGAAACATCAAACATCTGGGCATCCCCTGTGCAACGTCCTTGCAGACAGCCAATTCTCTCACACCAGAAGTGACTTGTAGTTTCTCAAGTCACTCCTGACACACACAAAAAATCAGCTCTAGTTTATTAAATATGGTGTTCTGTGGGCAAGCAGGTGGCAACTATTGGATGGCATATGTTCGGTATCAGAAACTAGAGCTGATGTAGTCTATCCAATACAGTTTTCTGAATCAGCACCCCACATAACCAAACCAAATCTAAAGTTGACCAAAAACTGATCTGTAACCCTTTTGGTACTAATGTTGGAGAGTGGTCCCTGGTCAAAAAAAGGTTGGGAACCACTGGATTACTACAATGTGCTCTACACGGGGTTGCCCTTGCAGAGTTTATGAAAACACCATGTGGCAGACAGGCTCATTTTCAGTTACATTTTCCAGATCATGTAATGATGGTCTTATATGGTACATCACATCAACTGCACTTGTTCAACTGCCCAATTCAAACAGCTGGTGCTTCTCACTGAGCTTGAGAACCTGCCAGGCATCCTACTCAGTAAACTCATTTGGGAAAGGTTCTCCCAAGTAAACATATATAAGGATTGCAGCTCAATAAAACGGTTTTCAGAAAAAGAGTTGTATTTCATAAAATGCAAGCAGACTTTTTGGTCACTTAAAAAGAGGAAACTTGAACAAATCCAGTTATGTTACCACACTTAACCTTTCTCTGCAGATTTCTTACTTCCTCAAATTAAAAACAGTTAAGGTCTTTCACTGGTTTAGGAAGTACCAGTGAAACTGCGGAGGATGAAATCTTGAAAAAAGCAAATGGCATGTTTTGTCCAGCAAGATGCCCCAAGGGGAGCACTGAGTGGAAAGGAGGAGGCAGCAGAAATGGACATGGCGCTATTGTTAATGAGTCACTTCCCCAGGGAAACTCACCACAGTCTTTCTCTGCAAATATTAAAATAAAAGCCATAATTTTCTTGTTTTGAAAAAAAACAAACCTCTAGCTCACCTTTTATCTTCCATTTCCTGTTGAAATGATGTGAATAGAATGTATTTCAAAGAAAATGTGTAGCAGAAAAGCATGGACCAGATGTTAGAGCAGTGGTTCCCAATGGATTTGACCAGGAACCACTTGACCAGGGCCCACTGTGACCAGGGACCACTCTCCAACATTAGTACCAAAAGGGTTATGAATCGGTTTTTTGTCAACTTTAGATTCGGTTTGGTTATTTGGGGTGCTGATTCAGAAAATTGCATTGGATAGACCACATCAGCTCTAGCTTCTGATACAGAACATACATCATCCAATAGTTGCCATCTGCTTGCCCACAGAAAACCATATTTAATAAGGCTTGGCACTATAAGAGGGTTTCATGAGAACAGTTGCTCTCCTTGCAACGGTGTAGTAATGGTGAGGCCGTGGACCATATTTTTGTTCTTGTGGACCACTGGTGGTCCATGGACCATGGTCTGGGAACCACTGCGTTAGAGACTACATGAGCTGAGGGATTTATGGACTTCCAGATGTTTATATTTGCTGCTCCCATCTTCCTTCATAATTGACTATAGACACCATGGTTTCTATGTTGAAGCAAGTAATAGTCCTGCTATATTCTGTGGGAGTCAGGCCTCATATACTACACTTGATCTTAGCCAAAAGGCTTCATATAGATTGTATTCAGTTCTGGGCAACTCCTTTGGCTGGCACAGACATATTCCATCTAATTCTTTCAATTGGATGTACAGGGGACAGAACCCGAAAGAAATATTCCGCATTATGCTTTCCAGTCCCAATTCAAGGTGCAGGTTATTACCTATAAAGCCCTAAACGGTTCGGGACCTCCTTATCTGTGTGATCACATCTTCCCCTATGAACCAGTGCATACCTTGAGATCGTCCGGGTAGGCACTGCTCTCAATCCCTCCGCCGTCTCAAACGTGGTTGGTCGGGATTAGGGAGAGGGCCTTCTCGGTGGTGGCTCCCCAGCTCTGGAACTCCCTCCCTAGGGAGATCAGACAGGCTCCTACTTTGTCCTCTTTTCGGAGACAACTAAAAACCTGGATGTTCCGGTGTGCTTTTGATTAAGCAGTCCACCAGTAATTTTCCCTGTCCTTACTTTAAGTTCAGCACTTTACGTTCGGCCCGCTTACGGTCCACCTTAATACTTTTGATGGCACTATTCCCAGCCCTGTCGATTTGATTGTTGCACTTTCCTTGCGCTCTCTTCAGGATGTGTTGCACTCATGGAGCCTGAACCTCAGCTATGTTTTCTGTTAGCCATTGTCTGATATTGTCTACAATTGTGATTGTTTTTATATTTTGTCTGATGTTTTTAATTGTTGCGTTCTATTTGTAATTTTTGGGCTTGTCCCTTGTAAGCCTCCCCAAGTCTCCTTGGGGAGATAGTTGGCGGGGCATAAAAATAAAGTTGTTGTTGTTGTTGCTGTTATTATTCCACCACATATTAACTATTTCTTTCTTCTTTTCAGAATACGAAACAAAGTCCACACTAAAAAACCACGATGACCACTGTAGCCATGGTCAAAAATGTCAACGGTGAAAATATCTCAGCTGCTGCTGTTAAAACTGTGCCATGCCACGTGGATTCTGAGTTCAGATACACCCTGTTTACTGTTTACTATAGCATCATCTTCATTCTAGGCTTTGTTGCTAACATATATGTACTGTGGCTTTTCACTCGTGTTTATGCTACAAAGAAACTGAATGAAATCAAAATATTCATGGTGAATTTGACAACGGCGGACCTCCTCTTCCTGGCCACGTTGCCAATGTGGATTGTGTATTACCACCACAGAGGGGATTGGATCATGTTCCCCTTTTTGTGCAATGTGGCTGGTTACTTTTTCTTTGTGAACACGTACTGCTCTGTTGCCTTTCTGGGAGTCATAACGTACAATCGCTTCCAAGCAGTCACAAGGCCCATATCAACGGCTCAGTCCAGCACACGAAGAAGGGGCATCTATGTGACTGTAGCTATCTGGCTCCTGATAGCAGGGCCATCTATGTACTTCCTCTATGATGGTGGCCCTATCAAGGAGGGGAATTTTACTCGCTGTTTTGAGCGCTATGACACCCAAACTGATACTACTCCTGTTTTTATCTTTCATGTAATCATTTGTGTTTGTTTCTTTATCACTTTTTTAATTGTCCTGGTGTGCAATGCATGTATTATCCGGGCATTACTCTCCCAACCACTGCAAGAGCGGAAGAGCAGTGTCAGGCAACGCGCTCTCTGGCTGGTGTGCACAGTCTTGACTGTCTTCATTCTCTGCTTTGTACCTCATCACATTGTGGACTTACCATGGACCCTGATGGTTCTGGGCAAATGGGAGATCAACTGCCGGAACAAAAGGTTGCTGAATGATATACACCAAGTGACCCTCTTCCTCCTGGGTGCCAACTGTGTTCTGGATCCTATCATCTACTGCTTTCTCACCAAAAAATTTAGGAAGCACCTTTCTGACAATTTGAAAACCATAAAGGACAGCCGCAAGTGTTCCAGGCAAACGACTGAGACAGGAGTAGATGGGATGATGCCTTTGCAAGAATGCCCTCACATCTTAATGAAGTCTTAAGTCGCAGAGGCCTATGGTTTTCTATTGTACTTACATAAAATCCAAGATCAGGCTGGTGGCAGGCAAAAGCTTTCCACATTTCAAAACATGCCTGGCAAATAAATTAACATTTCTAGCATGCTTCTGCTACAACTTCAGGAATAGAATGATTAAGACTGATTAAGCATCCTATTTCCAAAAGAAGATGGAATAACCCATGCAAATTTACCTTGCTATTGTTGTGAAAGGAAATGACTAGAACTCTTTTATGGTATCTTTCTAAAAGGTTCATTGTCCTGTAGCTAATTTACAATTCTACTTTGACTGGAGAGGGCACTGTGGAGTCCCTGCCAATCACTGGAGTAGATAGAAAACAGTGCTATCTGGTAGAACAGGCACGGGCAAACTTTTTAACTTGGGGGCCCGCATGGCAGGCCAGAGTGGGGTGGCCGGACCAAGGTTCTCCCCAAGCCCCCTCCCTGCCTTTTCCTCCGTTTCTCTTCTCTCTCGGAGACAAAAAATTAAGGAAAGACAGGAAATGTTTGGACCCCAAAAGGGTTAGCCTTGGTCAGGATGAGATGGATAGGAGAGAAAAAAGTGTATCCATCAGACCCTGTATTGCCTACTCCTGATATAGAATCCTAGAGCTGGAAGAGACCCCCAAGGACCATCCAATCCAACCCCCTGCCATGCAAGGAGGCACAATCAAGGCATTCCCTATAGACAGCCTCTGTGGAAAAGTCTTCAGAAGAGACTCCGTCACACTCCGAGGCAGCCTATGCCACTCTCCAACAGCTCTTAATCTCAGGACGTTCTTCCTAATCTTTTCACCTGCCATTTGAAGCCATTGCTCCCTTGTGTCCTCATCTCTAGAGCAGTAGAAAATCAGTTTCCCCCCTCCCTCTTTAATGAGGCACTGTTTGAGATTTTGGAACATGGCTCTCATGTTCTCCCTCTACCTTCTCTTCTCCCAGCTGAACATCTTCCAAGAGGAAAGGAGGAAGGAAAAAGAGAAGGAGGGAAGTAAGAAAGGGAGGAAGAGGAGGATGGATGGATGGAAGGGAAGGAAGGAAAGAAAGGAAGGAAGGAAAGTCAAAAGGGAAGGAAGGAAGCAAGGGAGGGAGGGAGGAGAAAGAGAGATTTGGAAAGAGGAAGGAAAGAGGGAAGGAAGGAGAAAGAGGAAGATAAGGAAGGGAAGGAGGAAGGAAAGACAGAAGGAAGAATAAGATGGTGAGAGAGTGGGGGCTTTGAAAAGAGCCCAAGGGGCCACATCCAGCCCTCGGGCCTGTTCGTACCTGTGATAGAGGGAGACTGTGTATCAAATATTTGGATATCGCTGGTTTTGTGAGGAGATAAGGATGGACACAAACTGCTACACACAAAGGGCTTATCTATATCTATCATTCCCTTTTCTGATGGCAAACTTGAGTCACGGGGATTGAGGTGAGAAAGCCAGTACAGGACATCTCTGCTTTCATTCAACAGAAACTAGCTGTGTTATGATAGTCCCACACTATGGTGGAAAATAATAATAAAATCTATATACCTATTGCCTGCTCATTCTTTTTATGAACAAAAATATCAGCTCTAGGACTACTATAGCTAACCTAAGCTGTCTGCAATGAGAATGTATGTAAATGTTTTGGTGTAAGGAACATGGGTGGGAATCTTTGCAGGAATACATCCAAGATGGGGATTGGCTAAATGCAGATTTGGAACCATATGTGGCCTTCCTCCAGAATTCCAAGACCGCCTCTTTTATGGTCCTAAAAAAAAAAAAAGTGACTTGCCTCTCCATGAAGCCTCTAAGGGAAGCAGTGTGCTTTTCCAACAGTAAGAGTGGCTCCTGGAGGATCCTGAGGTACATAACTGACCTCATGACTCACCATAACTGCCCACCTCTATGGGATGTCCTTTTGGCTTGTAAACCATAATCTATTACTCGTTTTGTCGCCTTTTCACTGAAACGGCTTTAAATATCTAAAGTTATTAAGACCAACTGCTTTTGGTTAATCACAGAACAGGGACTCGCCCTAGTAATCTAAGACTGTGTAATGAAGGAGGAATGTGATTCGCCAATGCAGAAAGAAAAGGGACAATTGGGAGGGGGGGGGGCGTTCACAGATTGAAACAGTCATACCTTGACTAGTTTGTCAAGGGTTGCTGTTGAAATAGCACCCCCTGGCTGTATCACACCAACTACTTGCTATATTTATTTACTTACTAACTTGGGTACCCAGCATTGCCCAGGTTATTTGAAGAAGTTTTTTTTAATTGTACAAAATGCATAAGGTTGTGGGTGAACTACAACTCACATCATGCCGGGTTAAATCTAAAAAACTCCATCAGTACTTCAAATTTGTTATATTGGGCAAGTTTGCTCTAGATGCATCACTGGTAGGATTCAGTGTGCTCTCTGGCTGTAGGGTAAACCACAACTCCCACCATGGTGAGTCAGTCCTCTCAAACCCCTCCAGTAGGTTCAGTTGGTCATGGGGTTTCTGTGTGCCAAGTTTGGTCCAGATTCGTCATTGGTGGAGGTCACAGTTTCTCTGGTTGTGGGTGAACTACATTTCCCAGAAAAGGTCAGAATTCCCCAAACCCCTCCAGTATTCAAAGTTGGCCATCTTGGGTCTATGTGCCAAGTTTGACCCAAACCCATTGGTGTTTGGGTTCACAGTGCTCTCTGGATATAGGTGAACTACAACTCCCCCAAATCAAAGTGAATTTTCCCCAAAGACCACCAGTATTTTATGCTGGTCATGAGGGCTCTGTGTGCCAAGTTAGTTCAAGGTCCATCGTTGGTGGAGTTTGGATTGCCGATGAACTATACATCCCAGTACCTACAACTTCTATAAATCATGAATTCCCTAATGTCTCTAGTATGTTCAGTTGCTAATCAATTCCTCTTTTTGCTGAGTGCTATAGAAAATAATAGAAAAGGGTTAAGGGAGAGGCAGTGGGTGGGATCGTGCAAATTCTACATCAGTTGAGAGAGGAAGAAACACTGGGATGCATGTGGTGGAGGAAACACATAAAATCTAGGATGAATTGTCCTCATGTGAAAGCCTTCACTTGGGTGGTGGACAGTATGGTGTTTGTGGAGGACATTGGCAGGGCTCTTGGACATGTTCATCGCACTCACTATAACTTGTAATGTCATTGGAGGGAGGGCCATCGGTGTCTCCTAAGTAGTCGGAGCTATAGCTGTTTGTGGAGGCAAGAGCTTGTCTGTGTAAGTGGATACCCCAGCCACACACACACATACATATTTTCACTTTTATGTGTATAGATGGATAGATTTTACAGTAAACACGGGGCCAGCAACTCCTAAATACCATTCAGGAAGGCACTACGTGAAACTATTGCAGGCATTATGCGTTAGAATTTTCATGCATGCATTGCCCCCATGCATTGAGATATAAGATGGGCCCACCATCCCCTGCAGAAATATAACTAATCCTACTTCACGTCACAAGCATACAAATATTTTATCTATAGCTCAGAATTCTTTCCTTATCATAATATCTCACGGAATGTGGCCTTCATGAGATCCTTGGTAACCGAGAAACTGATGTATAGGGAAATTAATAGGGGTAGAAGACAAAAAACAGGAACAAGTTGGAGATCATACAAACAATTCAATCCTTTGTGGTGCTAACCAGTCTCTTTATCTGTCTCCAACTATTCTTTTGAGTTTTGTATAAACATGTGCTTTTAAGTCCACATTTTTCTCTTTGAGTGTTTTCAAAGAAGATACAAGAGTTCAGAAAATAATTTTAAACTGTTCTTGCTCAAACTGCCCACAGGAAAATGACTGCACGACGATCAGAGAACCAGAAGAAGGCAGTGGAGAAAAACAAAACTGCAGGAAAGGGAGGGCACAGAGAACGTAACCAATGTTTGACTGCTTGGGCAACAGGGCTTAATATAGTAGGCTGGATGGTGCAAGGCATGACATTTCCAGTGCAAGAGTGTTCAAGAAAACTGTGGTTCCTACTTTGGTCATAGGCAGCCACTGCTTGACACTGCTTGAAGGCGTTTATTTATTTATTTATTTCCTATATTTATACCTCGTCGTTCTCCCCCCGAAAGGGGACTCAGGGCGGCCTAACGAAAGCATCATACGATGTTAGCATCATAAAAACAACCACAGTACAATCAAAACATTAAAAATTAAAACAATAATTAAGACACATCCATTAAAATCAAAATCCAAAAACACGTCCGGGTCAATTCATTGTCATAAGTTGTCTGATCTTCTTCCACTTGCTGCTCACTGATCAAATGCTTGGTCCCATAACCAGGTCTTGATTTTCCTTCTAAAAGACAAGAGGGAGGTGGCCAATCTGATATCTCTAGGGAGGGCGTTCCATATGCGGGGGGCCACTGCTGAGAAGGTCCTGTCTCTCGTCTCCATCAACCGTGTTTGCAATAGTGGTGGGATCGAGAGCAGGGCCTCTCCTGATGATCTTAAACTTCGTGATGGTTCATAACCAGAATCACTGGGCTGCTATAAGTGTTTTGGGTTGTATGGCCATGTTCCAGAAGCATTCTCTCCTGACGTTTCGCCTGCATCTATGGCAGGCATCCTCAGAGGCTGTGAGGTCTGCTGGAAACTAGGAAAATAGGGTTTATATATCTGTGGAATAATGTCCAGGGTGGGAGAAAGAACTCTTGTCTGTTGGAAGTAGGTGTCAATGTTTCAATTGGCCACCTTGATTAGCATTTAATTGCCTGGCAGTTTTCAAGGTGTGGCTTCTTACTGCCTGGGGGAATCCTTTGTTGAGAGGTGATTAGCTCCAGACAAGAAACAATCAGGAACAGCTACACCTTGAAAAACTTACAGCAGCCCTTGTTTGTTGTTGTTCATTCGTTCAGTCGCTTCTGACTCTTCGTGACCTCATGGACCGGCCCACGCCAGAGCTCCCTGTCGGCCATCACCACTCCCAGCTCCTTCAAGGTCAAGCGAGTCACTTCAAGGATGCCATCCATCCATCTTGCCCTTGGTCGGCCCCTCTTCTTTTTTCCTTCCATTTTCCCCTGCATAATTGTCTTCTCTAAGCTTTCTTGTCTTCTCATGATGTGGCCAAAATACTTCATCTTTGCCTCTACTATCCTTCCCTCCAATGAGCAGTCGGGCTTTATTTCCTGAAGTATGGACTGGTTGGATCTTCTGGTGGTCCAAGGCACTCTCAGAACTTTCCTCCAACACCACAGTTCAAAAGCATCTATCTTCCTTTGCTCAGCCTTCTCTATGGTCCAGCTCTCACATCTGTAGATTACTATGGGGAATACCATTGCTTTTACTATGTGGATCTTCGTTGCCTTTGTTGTTTGTTGTTTACGTTGGAAAATTGTTGCATGAGGCTACCTCTAAGGTTCCAGTGGTCTGTATAGTAGAACCAATCTCTACTTCAAACACTGGAAAAAAGATTGTGAAGTTGTCCATTATATTTCCAAATTACAGGTCAAAAGAGGTTTTTGCTCTTATATAAATTGTTTTGATTTGACTTTTTGGAAGAAAATAAATGTTCTACATGAATACAGAACAAACCTTGACATTTATTAAGAATACATTGCAATTCCATTCAAATCAAATGAAGTTAGATGTATTACATTTCATGTGTATGTTGCTCTAAAGCAGGATTAAGTAACCGGGGAAACTGACTCAGATTTAATTAGGTTCTGACTTTATTAAACAGGAAGTAGGATTAATGGACACAATCAAGACTAGTCTCTGAGAGAATATGTTTATGATTGGGCTGTAAGACAGCAATATAATCTTACCCCCTCCTCTTTCAAAACTAAGTAGGAAAACAGCCAATTTTTAAAAACCTGAATTCCAAACAAGAATAAATCAGGGCCAGCTAACACCTCCCAACAAAGGATTCCACCAGGCAGCAAGCACCCAGGCCTTGAAATTGCAGTCCATTAAATGCTAATCAAGGTGGCAAATAGCAACATTCACATGTACCTCTAGCAGACAAGAGTTCTTTTCCCCATCTTGAACATTCCACAGATACATAAAACTCACAGTACTTAGTTTCCAACAGACCCCTCAACCTCTGAGGATGTCTGCCATAGATGTGGGCAAAATGTCAGGAGAGAATGCTTCTGGAACATGGTCATACAGCACAGAAAACTCACAGCAACCCAGTTGAACACACCTTTTTCTTGGGTTGCTGTGTGGTCATGTTTTTATTTTTATTTTTCACCTTTTTCTTATTTATTACAACTAGGGAATTAAGACTGCAGTTCTAAATGTATTTTTTTTCTTGGTAAGTTAATAGTAGAAATTCAACATTTTAAAGGGTAGGGTTAAGAGTGAGGTCCTATGTGACTAGTCATTGAAACTCTATGGTGTAAAACAGAACGTTTTATGGGATTTGCTTCCAAGAGTTTTTAATGTTGTAGTTTGAGTTATTTTTCACTTGAAAAAACTCCAAATTATAGCTTTTTGATTAATTTCTGCAGCAAGCAGCTAAAGCATAGACGATAAAACATGACTTTTAAACACCCATGTCCACACATGAGATTTTTTAAAGT